TTCATTAGCTGCAGCTGGGAAAACAGGATAAAAAGGGTGTTTGCGCACAGAACCTTGCTGGAAGCAAAGCATGCATTATCTTTGTCAAGTCCTGTCTGGGTTCTGGCGTCCTCCCAACTGTGTTTCGTTATCTTTGGAGTTCTGCAATCCCTTATCCTGCCCTGTCTCGTTAATTGCTGCAGTGTGGTTTGTGTTGGTTTTTATTTATAATTTATATGTACTTTTGGTTTGGACTGAATTTCTGGTAATAGTCGTAAATGCAAAGGGCGGTCGTAAGTCACTTTTTCCAGCACCGTCGTAATTTCAAACAGTTACTAAACAAATGGTCGTAAGTGCAGGCTTACAAAAAAAAAACAACCCAAACCATTGTTTTGCTTACTGAAATCAGTCACTGCAGTTTCTGCATCCAACCTGACTCAAAACTTTGCTCCTTTTCTTGGGACATTCTTCTGTCCTTCTAACCAAATGCTCCCTGACAGGTCAGAAACTCACCCCCAAGGCCATGAGGTGGGCTAGTCCAAATTTTGGTACGTTCCTAGCCCACAAGGGCTTGAAATGGTCCGTCAGGCATATCTTGCCTCCCCTGTAGAAGAAAAAGAGAGAGTGCCAGATTTTTAAAAAGCACAATTGACAGAATACAGGAGATCTTCTCAGCATCAGATCAAGTACTACTATCAAGGATGGATTGTAAGCACAAAACTCACCTGTACATTTTGGCTGTTTTGCCATCCAGTTCTGGAATAGCGATTTCTGGTGCAGTAGATGGATAAGTAACTGGAATCTGAAAAGGAAGCAGACAAGGACTGGCATGCAATTTTGAGGAGGAAAAGTCCCATCAAGATAGAGAAGGAGAGACCAGGAATACAAATTAATTCAGAAAATTAAAAGGGGGAAAAAGGAATAAGAAAACATCAATTGGGTAAAACTTACATCAAACTCAACAGCAAATTCGTATTTCAAGAGATTGTGGATGTACCAGCACTTTCCAAACCACCTTCAGAGAAAAATACAGAAAGGGAAACAAAAGAAATAAGCTAATTTTTTATATATTCAAGCCACTTTTTTATATATGCAAGTATCCTCAACTTACAAGAGTTCATTTAGTGACCGTTCAAAGTTACAAAGGTGCTGAAAAAAGTGACTTAAGATCTTATGATCAGACTTGACAATTGCAGCATCCCCATGGTCACATGATCAAGCCAGATTCTCTTAACAACTGCATGGCTACCTTAACAATGCAGTGATCCACTGTGGCAAGGAAGGTCGTAAAATGGTGGCGTCACTCACTTAACGTCTTGCTTACGAACAGAAATGTTGAGCTCAACTGTGGCCATACATCAAGGACTACCATCCAAATTTTTTGAAGAACGCAAAGGGAGACTGCCAAATGCCAGAACAGGTCCATTCGCTCTCTCCTGAGCAATGCCAAGCACTGAATCTAGAAGCTTGAACAGATGCAGCATGCATTCCTCACGTTCCGGACATAAACTGTTTCAACTCCTACCCTCAAAACAATGCTATAGACCCTGCACACCAGAACAACTAGACACAAGGACAGTTTTTTCCTCAACACCATCACTCTGCTAAACAAATAATTCCATCAACACTGTCCAACTATTTACAAAGTCTGCACTACTATTAATCTTCTCATCACTCCTTATCACCCATCCCATCCCACTTGTGACTGTATGACTGCAACTTTGTCGCTTGTATCCTTACGATTTATATTGACTGTTTCCTAATATGATCTTATTGTTTATTGTACCCTATGACTATCATTAAGTGTTGTACCTGATGATTCTTGACTCTTGACCAATGTATCTTTTATGTACACTGAGAGCATTCGCACCAAGACTTTTCCTTGTGTGTCCCATCACACTTGGCCAATAAAGAATTCTATTCTATTTTCTATTCTCTCAAGAAATACATTTTTTCTTTATCTCCCTTACCTGGTACCTTCCTTGTTGGATTCCAACCTGAACCAATCGTTATCGGCATTCTTGTTGTTCTCCACGTACTACAGAAAAGGGGGGAAAAGAGATATTTTGCAAATCAACAAGGGATGTTTCAGGCAGGCACAGTCCTGCCTCAAAATTTGCAAATCCAACTTAAGTATGAGGCTGCTGTCTCCCTTGAATGTCTTTCCCACGACCAGATCAATTCGCATCACTAGAAAGGAAAAAGAAGCGTTCTGGCTTAGTTTGACCCTATGGAGCCACCGTCGGCAAAAGGAACAGCTGAAAAAAGCCACGTAAGCCTCCGAAATATAATTCTCCCTGTGGTTAAATAGACCAAGTACGGACCTTAATGAGCGCTTGGTACTCCTCCTTCAACCGCTGGATCCACAGTTCATGATCCCGCGGACCGGCGTTGGTTTTCAGCAGCGGCAACGCAGCCACGACCCGCCGAGTCGCTTCGTCCGCCATCTTTACTCAGGGAGAAAAGAGGTAAGGTTGGACCGGAAGTGGCTTCAGAACGTAAGAGCAAAAGCCGACGCAGCCATCAAGGCCGAAGGGCCTCAATCGGATATGCGCAAGGAAAGAGCAAGGCAGGGAAAAGAGCTGGAGCCGCCATGATGTTTGCTGGCGGAAGTTGTATGCTAGTAGAAAAGTACTGTATAGAATGTGTGAAACCAAAGTGTTGCGGGTCGAAGGCAGGTTGTGATGGGAGGGGATGTGAATGACGCATCGTGCTGAGCCCTAACCTGGTTGCTTGGTTTGTATTGTCCACATATTATTTTTATATATGTATATATGGGTATAGTGTACAACAGTATATATGTGTATTTTGTATGTATATACTTTATATACTGTATATTATATATGTGTGTGTGTGTGAATGTATGTATATGTATATTATATAATATATACAGTGTATATAAATATATAACATTAAATATATGTATAAATATACATACACACGGTATATTTTTATACACACAAAGACACACACACACACACACAAAGCTAGTCCTCAACTTGTGACAACAATTGAGCCCCAAATTTCTGTTGTTAAGTGAATTTTGCCCCATAGTACGACTGCAAACACATAGGTAGCTGCCGGAATCCTGACAACGACCTTTTCACAGTTGTTAAGTGAATCGGTTCAGTGGGTTGCTTGCTAAGTGAATCTGGGTTCCCCTTTGACTTGGCTTGTCAGACGGTCGCAAAAGGGGATCACGTAACTGGGGACACTGCAATGGACATCAATAGGAGCCACTTGCCAAGCATTTGAATTTTGATTATATTATATATATTATATGAAATGTGAGAAATATATGCATGTAAGCATATGTATATGCTGATATTCTACTTAAACTGATATTTGTGTTTGTATGCATAATGTGCTAAATTTGTGTATCAATAATAATAATAATAATAATAATAATAATAATAATAATAAACATCATCATCATCATCGCACAGTCAGCCAAATGTTCAGACTGGGTTTGGCTTTTTTGTCTACCTATCGAGTCCGTACCAAGGACCTGGGATAGGCAAATCTGGATGTTTGAGGGGGTTACAGACATCGCCGCAGGATGGAAGCTGTTCCAAGTAAAGCTGCCTTCTGCAATTGACGGATGGCGAATGTGTCAATGCCAATGATGGTGTTCAAGTGGTGCTCCAGTTGTTTTGGGACTGTACCCAAGGTGCCTATTACTATTGGTACTACCCTTGCTTGCCTTTACCATAGTTGTTCTATATTTGTAGGTCATTGTATTTTCTTATATTATTATTATTATTATTATTATTATTCATAATTCAAGATAGTGAACATACCTAGTATTCCTTCCTCCCCCTATTTTCCTTAAAACAGCCTCATGAGGTGGGTTGGGCAGAAGTTCTATCTATTACATCTACCTATTCATCCATCCATCATCCATCCCTCTTTCTCCGCCTGCCTTTTTATCTACGGTATCTGGTTATATTATTACCATCCAACATTTTACTTCATCTGTCAAATCGATCTTCAAGCCTCTTGGGTGTTTCACCAGCCGAACCTCAGATCTTCTGTACCCGAATGACAGGCTCTCTGCTACCTGGAGCCTCTCTTAACAATTCAAAGATTCTAGTCCTCATGGTTCTAAATGAGATTTCAGTTCCATAGAACCAAAGGCCTGGCAAGGAGGTTCCCGAGGCTGTTGATTTAATGTAATGATTTAATTGGCACCCCAAAAAGCAGGAAACCAGACCGGAAGTAGCAGAGGTGGAATTCAGCCAGTTTTGACCGGTTCTGGAGAACTGGTAGCAGAAATTTTGAGTAGTTCGGAGAACCGGCCAATCCCACCTCTGACTGGCCCCGCCAACCCCATCTCTTCTCTACCTCCCATTGAGTCCCAGCTGTGATCGGCTGGGTCTTCTTTGGTTGCCCTGCACAGGAGAATGGAGCTGGAAAGCAGGTTGGTGGGGTGGGGAGGGAATGGAGATTTTGCAGCAGGGCTCTTCAAACTTGGCAAGTTTAAGGCTTATGGACTTTAACTCCCAGAATTCCTCCTCCAGTCATGTTAGTTCAGGAATTCTGGGAGTTGAAGTCCACAAGTCTTAAACATGCCAAATTTGAAGACCCTCGATCTATTCTATCTATCTATTCTATCAATCCTTTCTCTCTCTCTCTCTCTCTCCCTCTATCTATTCTATCTCTCTTTCTTTCTATCTATCTAGTCTACCTCTCTTTATCTATCTATTCCAGGGGTCTTCAAACTTGACGGCTTTAAGGCTTGTGGACTTCAACTCCCAGAATTCTTCCTCCACTCATGTTAGCTCAGGAATTCTGGGAGTCGAAGTCAAGTTTGAAGACCCTTGGTTTATATAGTATCCTTCCCCTGCCATGCCCACCACGCCATGCCTACCACACCATGCCCACAGAACCAGTAGTAAAAAAAAAATTGAATCCCACCACTGGGAAATAGGTGCCCAGAATGCAAAACTGGAATACCATTGGGACCCAAAGCACCTCTCCACTTAAAACTCAAAAGTATTGGATCAGATTAGACACACGGATAGGGAAAGATTTATCTTTATTGTGACCACTTTTTAGGATTTCAACACTTTCGATTCAGGAAAAACGTGCCAGGATCTTTGGCTCAATATACACCCCACACCCCACACCCCACACCCCGAGGCCAAAGGAAAACGGAGAACTCCATTTTGGGAGAGAAGTCGACTTTATGAACCTTCTTCCACGGGTTGCTGGGCCTGACCAGGGAGGGTGAACAATCGGCCTACATTTTGCCTGATGTGTTCGGTGATAGGATCAAAGCTGTCCTGAAATTGCTGGAGCGCCGTACTGCAGAGAGAGGGGAAGAAAAAATAAGAATACAAAATAAATTAAGAGTGAAGAAACCTGTCCGCTTTCCACCGCACAAAAGCGCCTCAAAATAGCTTTTAAACCAGGGCCACGGCTCCACCCTAAGGTAGACTGCCTCAGAACATGGAGGTTCCATTGTCAACAAAACCCAAAACGCCAGGTGCGATGGGAAGGCAGCTAGCCCTCGACTTACCCCACAGTTCCTTTCGTGACCGAAGTCTCAACAGCACTGAAAAAAAGTGACTTAATGGCCTTTCCCCCCCACACACACACGAATAACCCATTGCAGCATCCTCAGGGTCACATGATTTACATTTGGAAGCTTGGCAACTGGTTCGTATTGATGACGGTTGTGGTTGAGCAGGAGGCTGGACTAGAAGACCTCCAAGGTCCCTTCCAGCTCATTCTATTCTATTTCTCTTCCTAAATTCTATTCCATTCCAAAATTCTATTCTATTATCCTTTTTCCTATTCTATTCTATTCCAAAATTCTATTCTATTCCATTCAAATCAAATCAAAAGTTTATTGTCAATGCACAACATGTGTACAATGAAATTGAAAATTCCATTCCAAAATTCTATTCTATTCTCCTTTTTCCTATTCTATTTTCTATTCAATTAT